ACCATATAAAGTGTCTTGTATAATTTTGTACAGTTGAAATGTGTGGTACTGCTTACCATTAACAATATAGTGTACAGAACAAGATATGAGGCTGAGAGCCTGAGACTGCAAAGGTAGCCTTCATTCTCATTAAACAAAAAAGTGAGTATAGTAATAATTCTCCTTGTATTAGGTCTATAAGTACTGCATTGTCAATTGTGCTTAGTGACCATTAAAAAGAAATGTAACTGTTTTAAAAGGTAAAATACAGTTGATTCTCATTTTAAGATCTCCAGATTCACAACAAGATAATTAAACACACTTCTTGATAATGAAAATGTAGAGAAGAAAAGAGTTATTATTTAAACTTTCAGTGAACTTGAAGAAATGTAGTAACGTCTGACACTTTTAGAGAACACTGGCTTAGAAGCGTTGCCAGTTCTTTAGAACAGCTTCAGGACTGGAACAAGGACAACCTACAGGACCAAAGTATGAGAATGTATGCTAGGAAACAAAATAAACATCCTTGTAAACAGTGTCGCCCTGATTTATGAAAAGGCATGATTGCAAATGTAGGCTTTTTGCCATCTAAATATCAGTTTAAAAAAAAGTCAAAGACAAGTCTTTTAAATACATGATAATTTCTTTCAAAATATTGGTGCCTGTCCTGTGAGGGCCTTTAGGATGCAATTTCCACCAGGAGTACAACTGTAAATGTTGCACCTTGTCATAAAAGTGCAATTGTCATTATAAAATTGCCTTAACATTATGGAGATCACTTCCATGCTTTAATGCCTGAAAATTCTTCCGTTAAGTTTTGGTGGTGGATAAATTGCTGCTGCACTCCTAATTTGTACCACCTGTTCCTTACTTTTTGTTTCAGCATTGCCAACCAGGTTGTCCCCTAGCCATTATTACTTGCAAAGGTGCACTAGTTATCTTCAGGATGCATTCTACAGAAACCCATCTAGAAAGACATAAATTAAATTCAAGCCTTGTAATTTCCCTGTCTCCCTGATCTGTAGTGCACAAGTTAAGACAGCTCACTTTCTCAAGTCAAGGAAAAATCAGTTCTTAACTCCATATTAACCATGAGTTTACTATAAAGTATATATACAGCACTTATTAAGAAACTTCTGCTGTTCAGGACCAGAAGCCTGTGTTGTATTAACTTGTAAACAGGAATGCAAAGCTAGTGAGGATGTTAGTGTTTACTCCTTAAATCCTACACTATCAGAACATTTTAGAAATCTGTTCCCTATTTTGGTCAGACCTGCATGACTTTGCTCATCAACACACACACAGTGCACTCTGCATTAGTATCAGTTATGTGCCTATTAGTTGTAAAGGATTGGAAGACACCTAGAAATATGATTCTGTCCTTGCCTGAAGTCTGTTATAAGTTTTTCTCATAGTATACTTAGTTCTGTATAAAAACATAGCTTATCAAATTCTTTATTGTTGAAATCCTACGAAGTATGGAAGGAAAATTCTTAGAAGCCACACCTGGCTTAGCAAGTACAGAACAGAAATAGTTGCAGGCTGGGACAAGTTCCCTCTTCTTACTCTGCAAAGCTTGCGCTTCTTGTCACTGATGGAGACTGCATTCTGGAGCTGGCACTTTGGTCCATCCTGGTAATTCCTATCTTCTTTCTGCTGCACCTTCTGTGCTCCACCAGCAGTATTTACAGTTCAGTACTCGGGAAATCTTTCTTGGCACCTGGCAGTATTGCTGGATTTTGCCAAATCAGTGTAAGTGGTGGGAAGTGATAAAATGCAAAGGAATGTTTCCATGATGTATATATAATGTCCACTATTATAGAAGGTATCTATTTTATTTAAAAAGGCAGCTTGCTAAGTATCTACTAAAGCTGCAATGTTTTATCAAAACAAGTTTGCTTGTATTGTATTAAAAAATTGAAGTTTCTCCCTGATCATTTTAACAAACTATTAATCTCCAAAAGTGATTTGTGATGAATTTTACAGTATAAACCTGGAAACAGCTCTCTGAAAGAAAATAAAAGAAAGAACACTCCTTCGACATGCGTAACTGTCAAAAGGAAAGGCCTGTCTGCTGTGTTCCCACTGCTCGCTGGATTTTACCCCAGTTGAAAGCCCAGTTTCACAATGCCTACGTATGTTGGAGAAAAAGCCGTCCTGAAGTAAAGCAACCTGGAGTAGCACGTGAATACTTTATATCCAGTAGTGAAGCAGACCAAGAAGGATTTTAACCTACAGCTCACATCTGTAGAAAGTTCTGTATGAAATTTCCCCATGTTTCCAAGCATTAGAAGCATTAGTTGTATCTTCTAACATCAGCAGGTAGAAGAAAGAATACCTCTATGGAGAAACTCTGCCCCCTCAACTTACTCCCTGTAAGGCAACAGAAATGCATCTCTCTAGATAGATTCAGTAAGGATGTGCATATAAAGAGTCAAAAAGGAGCTGTACGTTGACTGTTTTCCAGGCTGGACAGGGCTCTGAGCAACCTGATGTAGCTGTGATGCCCCTGTTCATTGCAGGGGAGTTGGACTACATGGCCTGTAAGGGTCCCTTCAAACTCTAAGGGTTCCATGATCTCGTAATGATCTACAGTGAACTCCTGGCATTATTGAAGTCATGAGCGTACTCATTGCTTCGCTCCTGGTTCTTAACACGGCCAAAACTATTTCATACTCTTAGGAATGTTTTGATTGATGACATCTATAAGAAAGATTGAAGGTGTGTTGTTCTTTTTTCCCATGAGTTTTTATTTTTACTTCAGTATTGTAGAAAGTAAAGCATGCGCATGAGCCCTTCATACGGAAGCAGAAAAACAGAGAGAAAGCAGTCATTCCTCCAATGCTGTATATTTTCTACAATTGCAAGAGTTAAAAATCAGGAGCTCTCAATCCTGTTTCACAGACATATGCACCTCTGAAGAACCCCGCAGGTGACACAGAGCATCGTTAATGTAAGAGATGCTTCTTCCTAAACCACTCTCCTTTTTTTTTCTTAGTGTTAAGCCCATTAACTACTGAAGCTTCACAAGGGGTGTGAGGAAGTGATGTAAGCAGTGCATTCATACGACTGTTCTACATTCAGAAGAGAACTGTGGAGACCTGTGAAGAATGCACGGGCTTGCTACTAAAAGAGTGCACCACATAAATATTTATATCAGCCTTTGGAAATATGCTAATGCAAGGCAAGTAATTTTCCTCTCTTAGAAAGAATCATAAAAACAATTAAGGTGATTTAATTACTGCCAGGCCTAGATGGCAGGTTTTGAGCTCTCACAGACGAACATTCATCACAGTGCCACGTAACAGACAATTAAACCTCAATCATTTCCCCTGTCTTTGTGCAGTACCTGGGATGGATCCAGATCCCAGGAAGTCAATGGGAGCAGACGCCTCACTTTCAAGCTCTGACTGAAAGCTTCAAGAGAAACAGAAGCAGCCTGCATGCAAGTTTGTAGTGCTTCAGGGCTCCATAGCAAATTGAACTTCAGTCCTTTCTGATTTCAATCTGAATATAAACATAGTTATAAACTGCAAAATAAAAAAAACCCACTTAAGATGTAACTTTGACATCCTTCATAGTAACCCAATATAGAGATTCAACTATTTACTATTTGTTTTATTTACACCTATAAAAAAAAACTTTTACATCTATTTCTCCGTTATGCTCTTAGTCCATGGGAAAAAGAAAAGAAGAAATCTGCATGAACTGGAAGTCTTTACAGCTGGATTTTATCCAAGAGTGCTACCAAATCTGTATTACTTTTTATTTCTCACATTGGGGTGAGGAATGTGTTTATGAGCACGTTCTGCACAAGTTATACCCCCAATCCCAATAGAATATTACATTAACAGTAATGTAACCAAACAAGAAGCGTGTTTCACTTAACATTCGATTCTACTGGACTTTCTCATTTTATATAATTAGAACTAATTCAATTTGAATATATTTCCTTGATAATGATAGTACAAGCAATGAATCTCAAGCTATGACCACAAACACCAACCCTGTGCCGTGTTGGTTCTGGGATGCCAGCGTTTGGTACATACATGTCCTATGTAGCCATATAACAGTGTGGCCTTGTGTCTCCACAGCCTGCAACACTAAAATACAGGGGGAAAAAATCATTTTGCATATTAAAAAGTGGTTATGTTTGAGTCCTGTCTGTGAGAAGTTTCGTCTTTCACAGGAAGTGAATTGTGTAAGAAATTAAAGCATTTTACTTGTTGCCAAGGCATAAAAATGTTCTGCTTTAATCATCGTTTGCAGGATTTTTTTACCCCTGCATTTTGAATTTCAGACTACACATAAATGTTACACTTTCTGGATGTTTCACATCCGTTATCCATAGCTTACAGAACAGCAGAAAATGTTTCTCACCCTCTACACATAACTGCAGACTACAGCTACAATTCTTCTATGTGGCAGCCCCACAGCTCTGCCCAGATGCAGGCATCAGAGCTACTGCTGCCTTCTGTTTTAGGAGACATCTCCCAGCCCACCCTTCATTGATGAAACTTCTTCTCTGGAGCAATTCATGAACAAAACACAGATAAGGAATGCACTGCACAAGTCTGAGATGTTACACTGTACTGAAAAGAACAATCCATCTATCTCGATTGGCATCACATATCACATGTTATTTCATTGGTACAACTATCAGTAGCTAATGCACACTGCGTTATTCCATGTCCTGTAACCTAGCAGTGCACAACAGCTCTGCACCAGCTTGCAGAAAAGGCAGCTTAGCTGAAGACTCATTTCAGGTATAGGATATATGCCAAAGCATTTTCTGCACCCAGATAAAACCTTATCTGTTTTTTCATCATGAAAAAAATAATAATGACACTAAAATAATACAAGTCAAGCTGCAGAGCAGCCATCACATCTTCTACAGAACCCTGTGAGAGCAGAGCTTCCTTTCACCACAGCTCTGCATGAGCTGCCTCTGCAGGGCGCAGGCTAGGGTTAACACACACGTTCTGCTGCACAGAAGATGCAGAAAAAAAGGTTTGTGTCGGTGAGCTTTTTGAAAGCTTTTTATTCTAACAAAGCCATTTGCAATGGTACTTTTTTGCCAAATGTCAGGACTTGGGACACAGCAGTGCCACAGTGCAATGCAGTGCAAGAGTGAAAGGCTGTGGGTTAAGTGCCCAAACCCAACAACGCACAAATATTGGAAAAGATGTTGCAAAATGAGCTGAATAAATTAAAAGCACTTGAAAGCGTGGTGCAAAACGTAACATAAGGAGAGCTGAAGCGAAGCATTTGCTTTCGTTCATTAGCGAGATCCCCTCCCTACCACGCTGTCACTGTGCTGTGACAAGGCCGTCCATGTCATCGCTCTCCCCAACACAGGCACACCGAACGAGACAGACACCATCTTCCAGCGCACAGCACGTGACTGCGGGGTGCTGTTATCGAAGCTCTCCAGATAACTCGCTATCAGCCAGTATTTTTAACTGCTCCTCTGCCCCGGCAAAGGCAGCCTATGCTCGGCAGGGCCCCAGCCGAGGACGTCCTTCTGGGCCTCGGGCAGGGCGGGGAGCGGCACCGAGGTCCCACTCAGCCTCCTCGTTGTCTCGATGCGCATCCGTCCCGCAGCGCCCCTTCAGCCGCCGCCCCGACCTCCCCCCGACGGCAGCACGACCGTCGCTCAGTCGCGGGGCGCGGCGGCCGCCTCGGGGTCGCTGCGGCAGCGCAGCGTGTAGTTGCGGCCGTCGTTGTTGTCCCAGTGCTCGCCCTGCGCGCCGCGGTAGCGGATGGCGAAGTGAAGGGCCGAGCCCTCCCGTAGGCTGGGCGGCACGCACAGGGCGAACGAGAAGCGCTCGGCCGGCGGCTCGGAGCCGTCCGCGGCGGCGGGGGGCAGCGGCGAGGCCGGGACGTCCATGAAGGAGAGCCACTCGTTGAAGGTGTAGCGCACCGTCACCTCGCCGGGCCCGGAGCCTCGCAGCGCCCGCACCGTGCCCCGCACGTCGGAGAGCAACGCGGGTCGCCCCAGCCGCTCCAGGCAGACGCGCTGCCGCCGCAGCCGCTCGGCGCTCGGCTCGCCGCCGTCGGGGAAGTCGGGCTCCAGGCGCAGGGAGGGCGGCTGGCGGGGCGGCTCCGGGGCAGCTCCGGGCTCCGGCGGGTCGCGCGGCTCGGCGGGCGGCGCTGCGGACGGCACCCGCGGCTCCTCGGTGTCGCTGAAGTGCTTCACGCTGGCCAGGCTCAGCCCCAGCGAGTCCGCGAACTGCACCCGCTTCTTGCACTTGGGGCAGCAGTCCTCCCCCTCGGCCGCCTCCTCCCCCGCCTCCTCCTCCTCCTCCTCCGAGCCGGAGGACGGCGGCCGGGCGCAGCGCAGCTCCAGCAGCAACAGCCTTTCCCCCGCCGCGCCGCCGCCCCACGCCCCGGGGGCCGCCGGCTCCGGCTGCGGGCGCGCGGGGCTCGCCATGGCGGGCCGCCCCGCCGGGCCCTGTGGCGGCGGCGGGCGGGCGCGCAGAGCTTTATCCCGCCGCCCCGCGGAGAGCCCCGGGCGGGGGGCGCGTCCCCGTCGGGCCCGGAGCCACCCCGCAAGGGCTGCGGCCGCCGCGGGCGGGGCGGGACCTCCCCGGGAGCAAACAATAAGGAAGTACGGGGAGGTGCGACGGGCGGCCGGGCACGTCGTCCCCCGCTGCCTCGCGGCCGGGTCTCGCCGGGGGCCGCGGTTACCACAGCGAGGAAGAGCGAGCCGCTAGCAACGTGGTCGGTTTTACGGCTTTTGGACGAGAGCGGAGGGACGGCCTGGCACACCCGCGGAGCAGCCCGTGGCCCGTGGGCACCGCAGCAAAGCGTCCGGCTGCGGCTGAGAGCGAGGAGGGCGGCTTTCGTGCCCAGATGGGTTCTGCCGAGGAAAGCTTTGAGACTTGAATGCTAGGACAAAAACCTAGGCGAGTGAATGGACCGACAAATCCGTTCGCTTTTTAAAGTGTTTTTTTTTTTTCTAAACCAGTCTCTTCAGTTGCTTTTTCTCCCCTCATTTGGTCGCAGCAGTGCCCGCAAAAAAATAAAGGCCAAAGGCCCTAGCAGCACACTTGCAGGTGCAGCCTTTCCCGACACTCAGAACATCTAATAAGATTCCAGTTGAATTCCCTTCAGTTCTATTTTCCGAGAGTTACACATGGCCACCAGCATCCTGCTAACAGCACCCTTTTATTACTGTGCTCAGACCCATATCCGAGACCTTTTCCAAACTCTGTGCGCACCATTGCTATTGTCTGTGGTGATTTCTATGGATGACTGCAAAAACACTTTGTTCTTCAACTGTTCTTTTTCTTGGGGAGAGACACTCGTTTGTTGTACATCCTTTGTTTTATTTTGAGTGTGAAGCCTCACTGCCAAGTAGCGGCCTGCCAGTGAATGACTCCTCCAGCTCCTGGCATTGCATGCAGCATTTGTTCGTAGTTCACTTCAGAGCTTTATAGGAACAGGAACGAAGGACAGACACTGTGGCATCAGCAGTGCCAATGGAAAACATGACTAATAGCAGTTTGCTGTCAGCTGCTCATCACTGATGCTCTGCTTTCAGCTCAGCTGGGCTGTTTGTAGGGCAGCCCCATAACCAGCCAGTCCCAGGAAGCTTGTGTGCCACCCTTTGGATCTTTAGACAGCCTCGTTGTAGTGGAAGTAAGCCATGGAATCACTGAGCTGAGGTCTGCAATGCGCTGCAAGAAGACCACAAACAGAACAGACAGCTGTGCTGGGTCACTCTGCTGTTAACACTGACTTTGACCAAAAGAGGACGCAATGTAAGCCCTTTGTCAGCTGCGCCTGGAAGTGAGACTCACAGCTCACCCATGCTACGTGTATGGCATGGGGTTAACCAAGCTGATACAAAGACTGACGAGGTGAGCAGCTTGTTTAAGGGCTGTGTGCCATACAGATCCTGCTCCAGCAGGTGCTGGCTGTGGTGAAGCACCTTTGGAATGTTGCTACATCAGTGCATGCAGCATGCACCGAGAAACAAATGAAAGGAGCCAGAAGCCTTGGCTCAGTCCCAGAGCCACGACATCACTGGTATCAGTGGAACCTGGTGGGCAGAGCCCTGTGACTGGTGTGTTGCAATGGACCATTCTGGGCCTTTCTGCAAGGACAGGCAGGGCAGGTGAGGTGGGAACTGGCTGCGTGTGAAAGAGGCGCTGGTCTGTACAGAGCTGGCAGGTGGTGATGGCACAGCTGGCAGCATCTAGGTAAGGATTAAAGGACAAGCAAATAAGGGGATGTTATGGGGCACTACCATGGGCTACTTAGTCAGGACAATGACACCAGTTAATTATTCTTTAAGAACTAAAAGATACATCTAGATCAACCAGCTTATCCTTGTCCATCCTTAGTGATAAGGATAAAAACTTCAGCCCTGGATATGGGCAGAGCAGACGTCAGGCTGCTCACAGCTCTAGTTAGCAAGGTCCTCATGCCCCTCAGCCTGCCCACCACCTCTCAGAGCTCTGTCCCTAGGCTGAGGAGTTCTGACTGCCCACCCTGGCCCAGTGCTCTCAAGGGCCATTTGGGCAATGGCCCATCACTGCTGGTCTCTCATGTCCCGTCACGTGCCCTCTGAGCACTACCAGCTCCTGGCGGGTCTGCTCCCCTGGGATTTGATCAGCACAGGCTGGTGCCTCCATCCCTGCACTTTGCAGGATGTGCTGGTGCTGGAGCTGATGGTCTTTGTGAGTGACTGTTGCACGCTTAAATCAGTTGCCGTTGCTCCTGACCCCATCAGCCAAAGTTTTGAGCAGCAGAGGGGAAAAATGTGCTGTTTGCTGATAATGCAAAACCACCTGGAATAATAGAAATTGAAGAGCAATGTGAAAGAATTAAGCAAAATAAGGGACTGCAAAAAGAGAAACATGCTGTAAACATTGTTAAAAAATTAAGCAGTACTATGGAAATTAATATGCATTCCTTATATTCTCTGCAAGTCTGGGAGACAGGCCTGCAGGAAGGACTACTGTTCACAGAAATTTAGAAAAGGCAGTGAAGACAACGGGAATTAAATTCTTTTCATTCTGCATGAAAAGAATTAAAAGGAGGCAGCAGCACATAAGGAATCCCGGAGTTTTGGTGTTAGTCACTGGCTCATATTCTGAAAGTGAGTGTGATGTGAAATTGCATAAACCTTTATGACACGCACTGATGAGAGGAGGCATTATTTAGGAGGCATTCATTGTTGTGTCTGAGATATTTCAGAATTGATTCTCTTAAAAGAATGGGGTAACCAGGGTACTTCCAACTACTATTTACTGCTTTTGTTATTCAAGAAACAACTAAGATAGAACTGGGGGCATTTTCAGTAGAAGACAGCAGATTCACAGGCTTTTTGCATTCCCTGAAACTCTGCCAGTTGTATTAAAGGACATTTGATATAAATCATCAACTGAGCAACTTCATTCTTCATCGCCCTCCATGTTTCCCATCTTCCTCCCTTCTCCCTCTAATCTCCAGCCTGCATTCAACACACATAATCCTCCAGGAGCATTTTCATCCTGAGATGATGACTGAGTGACATGAGCAAAATACGAATGCTCAAATCAGTGGTAAGTGATTCCCAGCATCACTTTCTCCATTCTGACCGTGACTGCATGGTTGATGTGTTTCTCAGGACTTGTTAGATCAGAGATTTTGGTTTGCTGCTTTGGGAGGGAGCTCTGTTTGATGTGCAATTTAATAAATTCACTGAGCTCCTTGGATCAATAGTCATCACTGGACACAAAATGAACATAAAAATATTAGTTTGCAGACACCCGGAATCATGTAACTGGAGGATTCAACTCACAATTTAATCCCAAAGGCCATTCATACACTTTTCATCATTTCTTTTTGTGCAATTTTGATGTTAGATTCAAACTTTCAAGGCCAAAACTAGAAGGTTTTCTTATCCATCCAGACGGAACGTACTCTACTACATGGAGTGTATGTAGTTCAAATATACCACATCTCTGCAGTTTCCCACTCAAGTTTTAACTAAGAAAATCTCCTGTAGCAACAGCTTATCAGAAAACTTGAATGAATGACTAATAACTACTAAGAGATATTTAACAATTTACAGGGATTTATAGATATGCAGGGATTATCACAGTTTGTACGCCAGTCACAGGAGTGACCCCAGAGCTCAGTTCTAGGGCCAGCTCTGTTCAACATTTCTGTCAGTGATCTGGATGCATCGATGGCATGCATCCTCAGCAAGTTTGCTGATGTGGATCAAATTCAACCGTGTTATATGGCATTGTATTGCATCGGGCTTCAGCATGAATGGAGCTCCGTCTTATGCAGAGTAGTCTTATATAAAGGATGTTCTACATGAACTTGCACCCAGATGGTTTCTGTTTTTTGCTTTTGTGTTTGTCACAAAGAGGAGGCCTGTACCTCAAAATCAACAGAGGCATGGACTCGTTTGGACTCTGTTAGGACATCAGAGCTGGCCAAGTGGTCAGAAGGGCCTTTGTGATGTCAGCTGGCAAAGCCTCTGCTGGTCTTTGCATTGTGTTGGATGTGTTTTTTTAAAAATCGAACTTTAACCTGACGTCATCAGCTCAGGTGCCACCCTGTTTTTCAGGCAACTGCAGTTGTGCAATGCAGCATGTTCCCAGCTAATGCAGGGCAGCCTTTTTGGCTGGGCAGTCGCAACTGCGTACGTAAGTAGTACATCAGCTGTTTCCTTCACTTCTCTTGAGACACTGTATAGACCTGTATGGGCTGCATAAACCCAATGTTAAAAATTGTTTGTTTGCATGTGTAGCTTTCCAAACTGCAGCACAAGTAGTAAATTCAACACTGAGTCTGCATTTTCCCAAAACTGCCCTAATTAGAGTTTGTTATGAATTGCTGAAGTGCGTTAGAAGATGGAAAAACAGGTATCTAACAGGAGGTCCTGTAAGAGAGGTACTTTATATCACAGTCATTTTTATTCTTACGGCTTACAACAGGATTGTTTCAATTGATGCACGTACCTACCAGCAACTGGGTGTCTGTAACACAGTACAGTACTGCTACAAGACAGCAAAATACAAAAACAAAAAACCCTGTAAGACGTCAGAGTTGACTTTCAGTGAATGAAATAGATAAGTATTTCTAAATACATATACATATATACATATATATATAATTTATTTATTTATTACAGTAGGAAAAACCAGCAGAAATATGTTCTGCTTTAATATTACTCTACCTTTCTAGCAAGTTCATGCACTCTGGAGTGCATGAACAAGAAACTCAGGACTGTGTGATGCTGCCTAACTGCAAAAGCAATGGATTGGCATAGTAACCATCGTTATCAGTTCGCACATAGAAATCACTGACATAGCCATGTGTGAATGAATGCATGCTCAATCCTGCTCTGCCAGACGTATTAAAAATAATAATGATGGAAAAAGAGCTTTATATTTCCTTGACTAATAATGCAGTAGATCATAAATACTCTGAATTCAGTCCCACAGT